CTACACCTTTGGGAACCCCTGGACCCCCGGGGCTGGACCCCTGCATGAAATCAATAAAAATATATTTTGTTTAAAAAAGAACAACCAGGTCCTTACCACACCCTAAGTGTGAGCTGACCCCAGAGAACCCCTCTGGCCTCATCTCATACCATTGCCACCCCCACCACCTCCTCCAGTCTGCAGCCAGAGGGAGCCTCTGACAGCACAAATCTGAGCAGGAGGCTCGCTCACTCAAAACTGTCGGTGGCTCCCCAGTGCCCTCAAAGCCCAAACTCCTGAGCCCACACAAGGTCCCGAGTGTCCGAGTCCCACAGATAACCCTCCGGACCCAATGGGATCCTGATTCCAGCTGCCAGGGGGTGGCCGAGGCAGGGAGAGGTGCACTCACCCTTTGCGTAGGTGCTGACTAGGGTGGCAAAGTTAGCCAGGAGCGTGAGCGGGGAGAAGTCCGCGAGGTCCGCGATCTCCAAGGTGTGCAGGAGGGAGCGGAGGCGTTCAGCACAGAACCTGATGGGGAGGCCACACAGGGTGAGGGTGAGGGGGAAGACAGACAGGACCAGCAGCCCCTCCTCCGTTGGCAGAGCACCTATCTCCACAGTGAGGGCAGGGACTGGGGCTGCGCGGTCACCTCTGTGCCTGCACATTTACAGCGCCCATCGGCAGAGCTGACTGCAGTGGCACACAGAGAAATAATCACACACCCGAGTCACGTGATCCCACGTCACACACGGTCACAAAATCTCACACGCAGGTTCTTGTCAAAGGAGGAGCTCCACAGCCACACCCAGAATCCCAGCCACGTGATCCTGCTCAGCCACGTCACACACTTACACCCAGAACCTCATCTGCCTCAGTCACACTCGGCCATCCTGCTGACACACAGCATCAGAGTCCCACAGGCTCACACAGCCTCGCAGGCTCACACACGCTGTCACACTCATGCACACAGGCCACCCAGCCACAGACACTGACCACTGGGCCTCAGGCTCTCACCCCTTGGGGACAGGCAGGTCATGGAGCAGGACCACCTGGCTCTAGAGCAGTGGTTCTCAACCTTCCTAATGCCGCGACCCTTTAATACAGTTCCTCATGTTGTGGTGACCCCCAACTTCATTGTTACAAATTGGACATAATTAAAGCATAGTGATTAATCACAAAAACAATATGTAATTACATATGTGTTTTCCGCTATGAAAGGGTCCTTCGACCCCCAAAGGGGTTGCGACCCACAGGTTGAGAACCGCTGCTCTAGAGTTTAAAACCTGCTCCTGAATGCCATTTTTTCGTCTGTCTTCCGCACCCCCTCCCACCCCAACTCCCGGCTGGATCGGGTGTGCCTCTGGGCTCCCCCTCCCACCCCAGCTGCTCAGGTTGGTCTCTGGAGATGGGTCTGTCTCCCCACTGAGACTGTGAGCCTGGAGGGCAGGGGCAGGGCCAGCGCTGTCTCGGTCACCACTGTGTCCCCAGCACAAAGCAGGCCCTCAGGAACATGTGGTGGGTGCTGGGACCCCATCTCTGCCCCCACAAGCCTCCCCTCTGGGGGAAGCAGGCAAGGCCACACCGAGGGCCGCCCCACCCGTCAGAGGCAGAGCAGCCCGGGCCTCGGCGCTCCCAGGCCTGGCTTTGCACAATAGCCCACGCGGTGCTGGGTGACGGGCCAATGGCTTCCCCCAGGGCCACAGTGTCCTCATCTGCAGCGCGGGACACCACAGGGACTCCATGAGGCAGGGGATACTAAGTGCTTAGCTCATCGTCAGTCCTACGACAGGGCGGGCACTGCCATCACTGCTTTCTCATGAGCCCCCAGACATCTGCGTGAAAGGGGACCCCCGCCCCATTTTACAGAGGAGGAGCCTGACGCCCTGAGAGGACTGATGACCTAACCCGAAAGCGCAGGAGCGTCCGAGACCCGTCCTCCTGCCAGATCCCTTCTCCTGTCCTCAGGCTGGTTGTGGGGGAGCAATGGAGGCACTGGAGGGGCTCAGGGGCTCCCACCTGCCGGGTCTTGTCAGGAGCCCCTCCTTAGGGCCTGGGGTGGAACTACCACTGAGCTCTCACAGGTGCCCTGCTGGCTCCTCCGCCCTGCCCACCCCTCTGCAAACAGCGTCTCCATCCAACGCTTCAGGTAAATTCTCTGATCAGGCCACGTGCTGCCTGCCAGGCCCCTGCCCAACACAGGATCCTGGGACCAGCTCCAACCTTGCCCTGGGACCCGCCTGCTCTGGCCAACAGGTGCCAGGCACATTCCCTGGCCCCTCACTCCTCACCTACACGCCTGACATTGGCTACAAGTGACCCCAGGCCCCAGGTGCAGAGCACAAGGCTGCCGCAGGGACCCGACCCCCCCGCCGGCGGGGCGCACCTGAGGGGTTTGCGCTGGATGCACACGCGCTGGGCCAGGCCACTCAGGAAGGCGGGGGGGCTCTCCTGCACCACATGCTGCACGCGCAGCCGCCACTTGACGTATTCCAGCAGCCGCCGCAGGAAGCCCAGGAAGTGCTCGGCCGTGCGGATGGAGCCCGGCACCGCCTCTGTGGGGACAAGGGGTCAGCCGCCACCCCCCGGGGAGGGGACAGGGAGCGGCCGAGGCGGGCGGCAGCTCACCCTGCAGCACCTCGTCGGGCAGCACGGGGTTGGCCAGGTGGGCGTCCGTTTCCCGGGCGACACTGGCCTCCCGCAGCCCCTCCACGAGGCGGCGGTACTCCTCAACGCAGGCGCTGCTCATCCGTCTCCTTGATCCTGCAGGGAGACGGGGTGTAGGAAGAGCGGGTGACACCTGAGGGGACATCGGGACAGGGCTGGTGTCCCTGGAGGCGGGTCAGGCAGAGAACGGGGGCTCGGGAGAGGCAGGGGCCGGCGGGCACGGCCAGGCGG